TGATACAAATAATAAAAATATAATAAATATTAAGTATGTCCTTTTTGACAGATATGGCAGATTTGGCAGATTTGTCTGTCCTGTCAGTTTCTGCCAGTTTCAACGTAAAGTATTATCAATTTTACTTTTACATAATTTGCATTCTTCTATCATATATTTTTTTATAATTTCTGTTCAATCAAAATTTGTTTTGTACTTTTTGGCTGATCATCAAAAGAATTCATACTTTGTTTTTCATTATTTAAATCTCAAAAAGTATCATATATCTTTAATGCATTTTCATCAGATTTAATATTCATTTTCTTTGTAACTAATATATCAGGAGTAAATGCAAAATGATTTGAGTTATTGTCAAAAGCAAATACTCCAATATTATTTGTAAATAAGATTTTAAATATAGGAATGGTATTATATTCAACTTATTTAATAGGAATTCAACTGTCTAATACCTTTTATCATTCTTTTCTAGTTTTAAATATATTTGTACTTCTTCTAAAATATCAGAATAACTCTCAATTTACTCAACAGTTAGTTTAAGTCTACACAAGCTTTAGTTAAAATCTTACTTATCATAATTTATTTTTTATTACCTTTTTTACATAATAGTAACTCACCTGATTTAGCTTATATTTCATATTTTCTATTATTTGAATAGAAAATGCATTTATCATGAATTATTAATATATGTATTTTTTCTTTTAGAGTTAATAAAATATTAACTTTCTTCATATTATCTACTTCATATATTGCTATATATTTTTCAAGTTCAGCCATTTTTGATAAAAATACATTTCAATATTTTACAACATCTTCTCTCTCATGTCAATCATAATATATTCCTTATTTTTGTTATTTATAATAGTATCCAAGCATATTTAACTATTTTTTTGCATTAATTATATTATTTGTATTCTTATTAATATCTATTTTCAATGATAATATATCTTGAACAAATTCTTAAAATTGATGTGAAGTTGTATGATTTTTATTTTTCAAATCTACTTATAACATATTTTAGCAATTTTTCATCATCAATAATCCTACTGACTTTCTGATATTTTTCTCAATGAGATAGAGGCAGAACATTATTAATACATCAATATTTTGCTGTCTCCTGAACCCAAGTAGTGTTTGATTTACTATTACTATTGTATATCATATTTATCAAATTCATACTTGTTTTCATTTTCTTCACTCCATTTAACAAATGTATAAGATATTTAAATACAGCCCTTTTTTTAATATATTCTTTTGCTAACATCCTATTAAAATTTTTCTTTAAATCTTTCTTCACATACTTCTGTTAGCCAGATAAGTATGTAGGTTTCTTCTTTTTCATCTAGAAAACTTTCTTGCATTGATTCATCTTGCTGGTTAAAATATCTTTCTAATTTTCAGATTCTCTTTGCTGCTTTTGTCTATGAGCCACTAGGTCCCCATTTGTCATAATAAATTGACTTTGGTATTCTACTTAATTTATAAGGACCACATTTTTCCTTTTCTAATTTAGCATTCAGTCTCTACTTCAATCCAAAATCCACCTTCAAAAGTCTATCCTGTATATTTTGTTCTAATTCCAAATCAATATCACTTTCCCAATCACTTACCTCATCATTTTTCCAATGCATTTCACTAAAAGTATCATCCAAACCATTTTTAATTGTTCTCTAACATGTCCATTTCTGCATTACTCTCAATTCTAAAAAAAAAATTTATTTATTATATCATTTTTTATAAATGAGTTAAGCAATATATAAAACTTATTCAAGCCCTATGGCAAATTTTCCTTTCTTATCCTGGTTTGTGTTTTTCAATGCAACTTTTCTTTTGTTAAGTCAAGGTATGCTTAAAAGAATTTTAAGGTTTAAAATCTAAAAAAAAAAATCAATTAATATCGTGTTACAAATTTTAAGTGAGAACATTCATTTTATTGGACAAAATCGATGTCACATGACAAATCGTATGTCCGAAATTTAAGCATTTTATAAGAAAATTGTCAATTTTCAAATGCCTAAGGCTCAAAAATTTCTAGTTAATTAAAGATTCGAAACCGTAAATTTTATTCTCCATTGTCTATACTATTATTATTATGGATTGTTTTCTCTTTATAACGTGGAAAAAAAAGGTTTTAGAGTTCGATGATTTTATTTCTATTTATAGATGATCTGCACCATATAAAAAACTTAATCAATAACCCTTTTAAATTCATTTACTTTTTTTATAGGTATTATTATACTTTGAGGAAATTTTAACTGCGTGAAAATTTTCATTACACTTTCCCAACAGCGAATTATTTACCAATGGTTTCTATAATATTGTGTAAAATTACTCAGATACATAATTACTTTTTCCAGAATAATTCCACAATTTCATCCTTTTCGGCATCTGTACATTAATAAGTTATGCCCTCTGGTATAGTCAAGCTTGTAAGAAACAATCGGCTATCATTGTTTTATCGAATTGGGTAAAGCTTATTAAAATTTCACAACAATACGGGTTATCCACCATTTCTAGGTATAAATTTGTTGATGACCATTACACAATTAAAAGATATTTGCGCCTTTTATTCATTCTCTTTACTAAAAAAAGTTGGGCTGAATCATTCTGCTTATCAATTTATTTAATATTAAAGCATATTTGTCACACAGACTGATAACATTGTGAAATGCAATGCATAAAAATACACGATCAGTTTTTCAGTAAATGATCAGCGCCCTACGATTAGTAATACTTATATAATGCAGTTATTTTTTATTGAGCTACAATAAAAAAAAAAAAATATGAAAAGTAAAAAAATGTTAAAACTTACGAATTTAAACGATTTAGAATGGTTGGATAATTCAATTGCTAATGAACATATTAAATTTTATGACAAATCGAATTTCAAAAATAAGCAGTTCATAGGAAGAGGTTCATATGGAACCGTTTATCGAATTAACTGGAAAAATAAACATTTTTTCGCTTTGAAAACTTTTAATAATGATCAAGAAGCCACTAAAGAAGTTGTGAAAGAGGTATAATATTTTGCGATTACCTAAATAAAAAAAAGTTAAAAATTTACATTAAATGTGTTTCTTAGTATTACAGTTAAAGCTGCACCGGAAAGTTAATAATCATAAAAACATTATTCAATTATATGGTGTCACAATGTTAGAACCAAGTGAGTTTTAGAAATATATCATTGAATTTTAATATTATTACCTTTTAATTTATAAATGCTTTTTATTATTACAGATGTATACTCTTTAGTCTTAGAATATGCCGATAGTGGAACATTGAATGCTTATTTAAATAAGCATTTCAATGAACTAAATTGGAATGACAAATTTCGGTTGGCATTTCAACTGTCAAGTGCTGTAGAATTTTTGCATGAAGAAGATATTATCCATCGTGACCTGGTATATAACTTTATTCCTTTATTTGATTTACCAAGATTTACTCATAAATTAAAACTTTCTTATTTAATCAATCAATCAAAGCACGCCAACAATATACTTGTACATCAGGAAAATATTAAATTATCAGACTTTGGTTTATCAAGAAAAATTACTGAAGTTTCAAATAATGCAAATATATTTGGCATAATACCTTATGTGGACCCAAAAAGTTTAATCAATCAACGTTACAAATTAAATAAAAAATCCGATGTCTATAGCATTGGAGTGCTTATATGGCAAATTTCAAGTGGACATTCACCATTTTATGGTGCCAATTATGATGTAGGATTAAGCATTGGTATAGTTTGCGGAAAAAGAGAAAATATTGTTGACGGAACTCCTATTTTTTATAGTAATTTATATGAAGGTAAGGCAAATGAATATAATTCTTTATTTAAATATATAAATGGTATAAAGTATTAATTTCATTAATTATTTACAATGATCAGCATGTTGGAACAACGAACCAAATGAACGTCCAAATATACAAGAAGTTGTTTCAACACTTGAAGGCATAATCTCTCCCAAACTAACTGGTACAATTATGAACAATATTAATGACAATGAAATTGATGGTAGTGAATCTAATTGTAAAGTAAGCAAAGGCACTATTAATTATGATTCCAATCTTGATAAATTAGATATTGTTAATTTGGATCGAAATTCTATCCAATTGAAAAGAATTATTGATGAGTTAATCAAATTTATAATTAAGAAACATGATGAAGGCATTCTGATTGATCAGATTAAACAATATATCATTCAACAAATATCACAAACGAATCGAGACATAGACAAAATCATAGGGTGGTTATTAAATCAAGATAAATCAAAATACGTTTGGCTCTTAGGAATATTTTATTATAATAATATCGGTATAGAAGCAACTAGAATTAAAACTTTTGAATTATTTTCAAAAGCAGCAGAAGATGAATCGATTGCACAAGTTTATTTGGCCAAATGCTATTATGATGGGTATGGAACTGAAAAAAATTATAATTTAGCTTTTAAATGGTATCAAAAGTCAGTAAATAATGGAAGTATTATAGGGCTTTATTATTTGGCAAATTGCTATAAATATGGCATTGGCACCCCTATTAATAATAAGATGGTGTTTGCATTGTATCAAACAGCGGCTGAAAAGGAAAATAGTATGGCGCAAAGTAGTCTTGGATTATTATATGAAAATGGCAAAGGCACAGAAAGAAATTTAGAAAAGGCACTTGATTGTTTTGATAAAGCAGCAAAGAACGAACATGAAGCGGCGCTATATAATT